TTTAATGTAAGAGAAGTGTTCAAGGAGTGTGCCTTAAATTTGAGACTTCATAACCATGGAATTCTTCTGAGTAACAAGTTCCAGTGGAACATTCTGTAATATTGAAGGCTCATTTTCTATGAATTTAGAACCTCGACATCTAAAAAGGACAATGCATGTAAAGAAGAAATTCCACTACATCTTAGATAGCAATGAGAATTAGGAATTATGAAATGAGTATCACTGGAGTAATGTCCGGTCGATCTTTTTGCAAAGGAAGGACCATAGAGGGGCATAATATGTCTGTTTAAAACATGGCATGACTGATGTTACTTAATTCAAGTAGTTAGTTTATTACACGAAACAGTCCACAGTTAATAAATTTGTAATTGTTATGGTTGTTGAATTCATATGCCCAAGAATCATTATTGAGTGATATTGCTAATAATATATGATCCTATAGGGTCACACCTTTATCAAGTTGGCACATTTTGTATATTTATTGTTAATATTATTACTAATAAGTAATATCAATTCTTGTATTTAATTAGATAATAATTATTGTTTTATGAAAATAATAATTAAAGAGAGTATAACTAGTTGTTTTTTCATATAGTATGAATTAATAAGTCATGCACAACCTTTTGGACTAGTTGAATCCTTTTTTTTCTTTTACCAAAAGACAAAGTTTATATTTTATAAACTTTGAGTTTACAAAATTTAAACAATTCTTCTTCATTAAACTTATGGCCGAATTCATTATATAAATAAGAGAGGTTGCTTGTCAACCTTCTTTTTATGTCTCCCATGCTCCTAAAGTCTACCAAAAATTTAGAGTATGTTAATGTAAAACCCTTACCTTGCATGGGATTATAGAATAGTGTGTCTTGCATGAATTTTGGCTAGTTTTTTTAGTCTTAAAAACTTCTCCTCCCTCTTTCTTCACTCGTAACCGTAGCTTGTCTGGTGCTTGATCTTGGATTTCTTTTGAAGATTTCTATCAAGTATTGGTGATGTAAAGTGCTTCTCCTTTAGTGCATATTTATGATAAGAACTTAAAGGCTTAAAAAGTACTTTATACAAGAAGAAACTAGCATTCCAAGTGCCTTAATCTTGATGGTGGATACTTGTAGAGAAAATCATACTCTTTGATTTTTCTATCTTCATCAACACCCCAAAACCATGTGGGTTCAAATGCTTCAAAGGTTGCCATTCTAAAACACTCTATGGTTCATTTTAATATCATTCTAACCTCTATAAATGGATCATAGATGGTTTGGTTTTGTTATAAACCCAAAAATAAACTTGTTATTTTTAACGCTTCCGATGACCGGTTTTTATGAAAAACACACTTATATTTTGTATCAAAACTCATCACTGGTATCAGAGCCATCTTTTATATGTTAGAATGATTTTTTTATGTTTGATAATCTTGGTTTTTGGAAAACAAGCATGGGTTTGTTTTGGTTAAGAAAAATCAATATTTGTCTTCTTTGGCAGTTTCTTGGTTAAAATTGTTTATTTTTATATATAACCATTTTTCATGCATTTTTGTTATATAAAAGTTGTCTTAGAAAAAACAAAGAGTTGTTATTTATAATATTTAATATGTTGTTGTGTATAAACAATCCATTTGGACATTTTTGTTGTGTTTCGTTGATATTTATTTATTCATAACATGTAATAGATAAATAGGTATTTTTTTCATTTGTTTCTTTGTTGTAGTAATTAGTTAGACTAGTTGTATTTCTTTTTAAATGTAACAAGATGAAGAAATAACCTCCTTGAAGATGACTTAACCACTTGAGACCATAATCCCAACCATGAGCTTCTACTCTTGGTTTTGGACTTAATTATATTTTTAATGGTTTAAGTGCTACAACCTTTACAACATAAAGATTTGAAGTTCTTTTTGCAACCAAGAGTTGACTTGGAAAGTGAGAGCTTGAAGACCTTTTGAAGTGTACCATGCTTGGTTTATACACTTTGTAATGCATGCTTGTGATTTTTATTTTACATTATTGTGTGTTATGTTTTATGTATGAAAATGAGTTTTACATGTCAAATAATATTTTAACATAAGATAATATCACTTGGAGTTTGAGTAAAAATATTTAAAAGATAACACAACATGTTTATATATATATATATATATATATATATATATATATATATATATATATATATATATAAATTTTTGAGGTATTTTAATCTATTAGAATTAGATTAATTGGAACTGTAATTAGAAAATCAAAAAATTATTCTTAGAAACAAGTAAAAAAACAAATTAAAAGAGAAAGAATATTTTTTCCCTGAAATCTTCTATAAAAAATGGAATTAAACCAATTAAATTGTACTAAAAACGAAAGAGACGTTTAGTACAATGTGGAGAAAATCAAAAGTAAGAAGGAAAGAGAGAAAAAGTGTGAAACACATTTTTTTTCATTTAAGTGACAAAGTAGAGAAATAATAAGTAAAGAAAAGGGAATTTGTATTACAAAGAAGTGGTTGAGAAATTATTGAGGTGTAGACTGTAGAGAAGTAGGTTTTGGGGGAAGTAAAAAGGGTTAATGACTTAGGAGGGTAATTAGGTTTCCAGTTTGTCCGCATTAGGTCACTAAGGTTTTTTTTTTGCGCATTAGGTCACTAAGGTTGTTATTACCGTTTAGAAATAGTTCGTTTACCTGTTTAACCGGTTACAAAGTGAATACATGTTATATACGGGTGTTACGTGGTTATTAGGCCATTACGTGGATTATTAGGTGGCATTTAATGTATATTTCGTCTCCTTAAATTAGGGCAAGACGAATCCCCAATCACTTTCTCTTCACTCTCACTCGATCGTCCCCACCCACTGTTCTTACTTCGATCAATCCACGATCAGATGGCTGAAGATGAAACACCGGTCGTTGAAGTCCGGTACAACTGGATTTTCATCAACAAACCATTTATATATTTTGATCCAGATAAAAAGGAGATAATGTACGCCAATTTCAGGGAGAAGGGGTATGCTGAATTCATTGCTCACCTCAACGCGATTACTAAAAGAATGTGCAAAGATGTATACTATTGTCCAGATGGCCAAACATTGTGTCAAGGATTGGTCACATTGCAGAACGAATGTGATTACCATGAATTTCTTGAGTCTCTTCACTAGAAAAAGAAAGTAACTGTGTATGTGGATCATATGCATGAACCCCTGTTTGAGTGGATTGAAATGGAAGAGCCTGAAGTTGAAGATGATATTGACAGAGGCAATGGAAATGGGCTTACTCTTATATCAGATGGACACAAGGTACTACTCATGTTTACTCTTAACTTTATAGTTTAATTGTTACTTAATATTGTAAATTGTACATGGTTTAATTGAAGCTATCAAGGAAAGGGTTCCTCATGCTGAGCACAGATTATGTGCTAGGAACATACTAGCCAACTTTAACTCCAGGTTCAAAGGTGAGCATTTTATCAAGCCATTTTGGAGAGCTGTGGAGGCTACCACAAAACAGAGACATGAAGCTGCTATGCAAGAGATCAAGGAATTAGAAAGGGGCATTTGATTATCTCATGGAGATGGACCCTAAATGTTATTGCAGGGCTTTTCAAGAAGAAGGAGTATTTTGTGATGCTGTGGAAAATGGAATTTCAGAGAGTTTTAATGCTGAAATAGTTGAGGCTAGACATAAACCAATAATAGCAATGTTGGAGGATATAAGGGTTTATGTGATGCATAGGTTATACATGTGTTCATGTGTTCTTACATGATTAATGTTTATGTACAGATTCTGGGCTGTGTACCCTTGTGGGTATCAACAATTTGAGGTGGTATTATGTAATGACATGTATGCAATTGACCTGATCAGAAGGACTTGTGGATGCAGGAGATGGCAGTTGACTGGAATACCCTATGTACATTGAGTGGCTGCAATTTCATCCATGAACTTAAACTCAGGGGAATATGTAACTAGCTGTTACAATAAGGCAACTTATCTCACCTGCTATGCATACATTATTCATCCTTTGAATGATAGCTCTTTATGGACACAAAGTGGGTACACCAAGCCTTTACCCCCAAAGAGTAGAAGGCTACCTGGTAGGCCATCTACTAAGAGGAGGAAAAGTGCAGCAGAAAGGGAGATATCAAGCACACACATAGTATCAAGAGTAAAGCAGGTGCAAAGGTGTTCAATATGCTATGTTAGTGGGCATAAAAAAATGGGTGCCCAACAAAAAGCATTCCAACAACAGGTGATCCTGGATCTTCCACTCCAGCTCCAATTCCAACTCCAGGATCCACTTCTGCAACTCCAAGATCCACTTCTGCAACTCCAAGACCAAGATCCACTTCTGCAAGACCAGTTCAAAGTTCAGTTCAATTGAGAAAGAGGAAAGCTTCAGAAAGAATCACCAAACTGTGCGTGAGGAAAAAAGTGGTGCCCAAGGATGGTAGTGGTTGTAGTTCAGAGAAACCTGTAGATTTGGCTTGATTGTAGGTTTCATGTTGAACTCTTTTGTTTTCTTATGTATGCATGTGGTGTGTAAGTGTTAGGTAGGCATGTGATGGTCGAATCTTTTGATATTAAATGTAATATTGTACTAGACTAAGGGATAAAACTATCCAACTTTTGATGCTCTTTTGATGCTGAATGGGACACCTTTTTAAGGGTGTTTGTTTGTTGACAATATTACCCTTTAATATATTTTCTGCTTTAAATCTTTGAACTAATTCTTGTTTGTTGAATCATACACTTACAGATGTACTTTGCCTTCAATTTGGTTGTTCATTATAATTACTGACATTGGTTGTTCACTATAATAGCATTTTAGATTTCAATACACCATATTAAAATTACTGACATTGCCTTCAATTTGGTTGTTCATTATAATTACTGACATTTCCTTCAAAAGCTTCATTTGCATTCATACATATGATTTCATTGCATTATAGGTACCCTTACAATCAAAATAACAAAATTATGGGTACCCTTTATATTCAAAAGATGTCTACTGCATCATAATTCCATTCAATATAACTTAACAAAGTACAATACAAACAAGACAATCAAAGCTACTTTATGCCATTTCATCTTCTTCTTCATTTCATTCAGCTCATGACTAAGACCCAAAAGCTCCTCAGTGACCGGATCTTCAACAACCCATTCCCAAAATCCACACTTTCTTCCTGCTCTCTATAAAAAAAATGAAAAAGAACAAAGCTTTAGGATAAATGCCATAACTTACACACTTATAACAGAGATTTAAAGAGTGAAAAGCTTCAATCTTCAAAATTGGCCATTACCAACGAATTAGGGCACGTTCTGAACCTTTTCCCCGGATTTTGTGGTGCCGTGGAGACTCGAATCCGACTCGGGAGCCCACAGTAGCACATGATTCGGTTGTTTGAGGTGGAGGCGATGGAGGCTTGCGACATCTTTTTCTGTTCTTCTTCAACTCTTCAATTTAGGGCACAAGAAATATGGGACATTTTTTGAGGTGGAGGCGATGGGGTGGTTATAGGCATGCCACCGGACATGTAAGCTTCCAACTAAGCTAAACAGGGAGAAACCGGTAAAAAAACTATTTGTAAACGGTAATAACAACCTTAGTGACCTAATGCACACAAAAAAACCTTAGTGACCTAATGCGGACAAACTGAAAACCTAATTACCCTCCTAAGTCATTAACCCAAGTAAAAACTAAATTCCATATGCATGTGTGGAACACCATACTACACACTCCGAAAAAAAAAAGATTCTTGGTCATAACAGATCAAAACTGGCATTGGGTCGGGTCCTGGTAGAACCGATTAAGAATCGGGCCTAGGCCGGCAAGGACAGAGCAATTAAGAACTAAAAAAAAACAATTTATTTTTAGTGCTAGGACCACCCTAATGAAACCCAAAAAGATATGTGGAACGAGCAACAATTCAAGGAACCAGACTTTAAACTTTTTCCTATCTTTTTTTTTTTTTTAGAAGATGGATTGTTTTGAACACAATTTTTGCATTTTTTTTACACAAAACAAAAAGAATTTATTTCGAAAAAATTATACTCATATTTTTTTATTATTATTTAAAGAGCAGTAAATTTAAACAAAATGTTGCAAAAAAATTTATTTAACATTAAAAAAGCAGAAAAATTGGCTAGTCTCCCAAAACACGCACTCTTTAATGTGTTTGGCTAGGCGTGGTACCCATTCAAGAATTGTTGTACACCATACTACATAAATCAACAAAAAAAAATCTGAAAAATGAAGATTCTTGGTCAAAACGGGCGAAAGGTGGTTTGGATGGTCAAAACGGGCGAAATGTGGTTTGGATCGAGTCCTGCTAGGACCAATTAAGCAGGGCCGACCCTAAGAGTGTGCAAAATAGCCGCCCAGGGCCCCAAAAAAAATAAGGCCCAAATTTTAGCAAAAATTATGTAGTTAATATATGTATATATATATTTATTTGTTCAAGCAATAATTTAAAGTTTAGTTATCTCAGCCGGCCAAGGCGCTCATCTATGCACATCTTTTGCTGTTTTGGCGTTTGGTTGGTTGGATCCTCACGAATCTCAATTTTACATCTTTTTTTACATACTTCTATGGAAGTTACATTCTTGGCCCTTCAAATTTAATAACTATTTTCCTTTACTAAATCAATTTCAATAAGTTACATGTTTAACCTTTCTAACTTGATAAATTTATATTTGTTTCCATTTAATCAATTTAATAATTCTTTTGTTTTTCCTCATGCAATTCATCACCCGGTTAGATATATATATATATATATATATATATATATATATATATATATATATATATATATATATATATATATATATATATATATATATATATATATATATGGTGAGGTTCAATAGAGAACCATAATTAACTAAGGAACCAAGGAACCAATCGTGAGCGTCGGAAATCATAACGATCAACGGCCAAGGAAATAGATGTACACTTTTATATTGGACGCACATACGCCGGATTATACCAAAAAATCCACCATTTACAAAAAAATCCACCACTTTTTTTCGTTTAAAATTTTTTTAGGCCATGTTTTTTATCGAAAAAAACCGAATATACCGTTGTTCACGATTTTTCGTCATCTTTCCATAAAGATCCATGATGATATATAAAAAACTATTTTTTTTTCGAAAAAAAATCCACTTCATTTTCTTTGATTAAAAAAGTTAAAGTCTATTTTTTTATAGAAAAAAAATTAAAAAATGTATCAAAATTCATATTTTTTGTACTTTTTAAACATAGATTCATATTCATGTTAAAAAAAACGATATTTCAGTTCAGATTCACATTGTGAACCTGTTCAGATTCATATTGTAAACCTGTTTAGATTCACACTGTGAATCTGAACTGATTGGAGCTTTTTCACATTGTGAATGTTAAAATTTGAAATATTTACAGTTTAGATTCATAGTGTGAATATACTGATCGAGGGTTTTTTTTATTTTTTTTTTGTGAACTTTCTCAGATTCACAGTGTGCATAATACTAATTCAGATTCACAATGTGCACAATGTGAATCTGAACTGTTCGAGGATTTTCATATTGTGAATGTTAAAAATTGAAATATTTACAGTTTAGATTCACAGTGTGAATCTATACTGTTCGAGGTTTTTTTGTTTTTTATTTTTTTATTTTTTTATTTTTTTTAATCGGTATTGATGTTTATTAATAGAGTTCAAAAAATTAATATTTTTGGTATAATTAGTTTTCTTTTTATAAAAATAACCTTAAATATTGAAAAAACTAAGAAAATTAAGTGGGTTTTTTTCGGAAAAAAAAGTTCGTTTTTTATATATTATCATGGATCTCTATGGAAAGAGGACGAAAAATCGTGAACAACGGTATATTCGGTTTTTTTTTTTCGATAAAAAACTTGGCCTAAAAAAAATTTTAAATGAAAAAAAGGAAGTGAATTTTGTTATAATCAGGTACATTTGCGTCTATTATAAAAGTTTACAACCCTTCCTTTTGCCGTTGATCGCTTTAAATTCCGACGCTTTGGATTGATTCCTTGGTTCTTTGATTAATAATGGTTCTCTATTGAACGTTTCCCTATATATATATATATATATATATATATATATATATATATATATATATATATATATATATATATATATATATATATATATATAGAGTGAGGTTTAATAGAGAACCATAATTAACCAAGGAACTAATGAACCAATCGTGAGCGTCGGAAATCATAACGATTAACGGGCAAGGAAATAAATGTACACTTTTACATTGGACGCACACACACCGGATTATACCAAAAAATCCACCCTTTACAAAAAAACTCACCACTTTTTTTCGTTTAAAATTTTTTTAGGCCATGTTTTTATAAAAAAAAAACCGAATATACCGTTGTTCACGATTTTTCGTCATCTTTCCATAGAGATCCATGATAATATATATCAAAAACGAACTTTTTTTTTTCGAAAAAAACTCACTTCATTTTCTTTGATTAAAAAAGTTAAGGTCTATTTTTTATAGAAAAAAATTAATAAATATATCAAAATTCATATTTTTTGTACTTTTTAAACATAGATTCATATTCATGTTAAAAAAACGATATTTCAGTTCAGATTCACATTGTGAACCTGTTCAGATTCATATTGTAAACCTGTTCAGATTCACATTGTGAACCTCCTCAGATTCACAGTGTGCAAAATAATAACTCAGATTCACAGTGTGAATCTGAACTGATCGGAGCTTTTTCACATTGTGAATGTTAAAATTTGAAATATTTACAGTTTAGATTCACAATGTGAATCTATACTGATCGAGGTTTTTTTTTTTTGTGAACATTCTCAGATTCACAGTGTGCATAATAGTAATTCAGATTCACAATGTGAATCTGAACTGTTCGAGATTTTTCATATTGTGAATGTTAAAAATTGAAATATTTACGGTTTAGATTCACAGTGTGAATCTACACTGTTCGAGGTTTTTTTTTTTTTTTAGTCGGTGTTGATGTTTATTAATAGAGTACAAAAAATTAATATTTTTGGTATAATTAGTTTTTTTTTATAAAAATAAACATAAATATTGAAAAATTAAGTGGGTTTTTTTCGAAAAAAAAAATTCGTTTTTTATATATCATCATGGATCTCTATAGAAAGAGGACGAAAAATCGTGAACAACGGTATATTCAGTTTTTTTTTTCGATCAAAAACTTGGCCTAAAAAAAATTTTAAATGAAAAAAAGGAAGTGAGTTTTGTTATAATCCGGTATATGTACGTCCATTATAAAATTTACAACCCTTCATTTTCCCGTTGATCGCTTTAAATTTCGACGCTTTGGATTGATTCCTTGGTTTCTTGATTGATAATGGTTCTCTATTGAACTTTTCCATATATATATATATATATATATATATATATATATATATATATATATTAGTTTATAACCCGTGAGAACCATAGTTATATACATAATTAAATTCTCATATTAAAAAATTAAAATTATTAAACAATTATTTTAAATAAATTATTACTTAAGGAATATTTTAGTTATATAAAATTATAATCGTTGATTTAAATAAATACGTGAAGTTATATCGCCTTATAATCTGTATTAATTTTATTTTATTTTTCAATGTAATGTTATTAATTAAATATAATTAGAGTGATAAAATTTAAAATATGAAATTTATAATGAAGAATCAATTATTAATTTAATGTAATTAGAGTGGAAAATTTAAAATTTGAAATGGATAATCAATTATTAATTTAATTTAATTAGAGTGAAATATAAAATTTAAAATGGATATTTAATAAGTTGACAAGTGGAATGATAGATAATATATAACATTAATGACAAGTTCTTATTGTATTAAACCTGTCAATAGAAGATTAAACTTTTTCTTTTATTAGAATATATATATATATATATATATATATATATATATATATATATATATATATATGGACCCATATTTTATTATTCGCAAAAGACCTTCAAAATTAAAGGGCCGGCCCTGCAATTAAGGTATGGATCTATGCCTACAAGACATAGCAACGGAAACCGAAACAAAAATAAAATCTTATTAGTGCTCAAACCAAGATAATTAAACCCAAAAATATGTACGGACCAAGCGGCAATTCAAAGAATTGAACTTTAAATTTTTTACCATCTTTTTTTAGAAGAATTCTCGTTTCAACCCTAATTATAACCTATTTTTAACACAAAACAAAAACAATTTAATCTTAAATAAGAATACACACCCTTTTGATTTAAAAGATGATTCAATTTAAACTAAATGTTGCAAAACAGTTTATTTAACGTCGGAAATCAATAAAATTGGGTAGTCTCCCAAAAAGCGCACTTATTTCGTGTCTTTGTCTTGACGACTTACCCACTCAATATGTATAATCCGGAAGGTCCAATTGGGCTTCATCAATCATGCTTGAA